TTTGGCGTATCGTAAAGAATATTAGCAACAGCTGATGATAGTGTTGATGGATAGTGACGGTATATGTTTTCGAGGATGTGAGAGTTTGTATTCAATAGTTGATGTTGGTGTTTGTGCTAACAGTCAGCCGCTTTTTTGTTTACTGTGTTAATAATTATAATCTTTTTTACAACGAAGCGGCTAGACATATTAATATTAATATATCAATAATCCAGATTCTTCAATGTCAACATTTGGCGTTAACATAATACTCCAAATCGAAGAAATCACTGTCGTCAACCAGTTGAGATGAAGTAATCGAAAATGGGTTAAACAATTTGCAGCTTAAAAGTGATCAACCGCTATTTAAACCATTTATATTTTTGATTTTTCTTGATTGTCGTCCAATCCATTTTTCATTTTTCTATATTATGATATATAAAATAAAAGTCTTATTATTATTGTCCATTTTGTAAATTCTAAATCCGGATATTCGTTCAAAAATTAACCAGATACAATATTAATATTAGTATTAGTATTATAATTAGTATTAGGATAATTAGAATATCCGTTTAAGGAAAGCTTTAAATGAAACAAGCGATTGAGAAGCATTCAACAGAATATAATAATAATAATTCAATGTAGTGGTTTTCATCAACAAACAAATTTAATAAAAATACCTACTTTCAACAGTGAACTTTTTGTGAGTTAATTGGACTTGTTTTTGGTCTCTTGCTACAAAAACCAACTACACGATACAAATCAAAAAATTAACAAAATGATCAATAAAATAGAGGCAAAAAAAAACAAAAATTAAACAACACCTAAAGGTGCTTTGAAAGTTTTTCTTGGGATAATACAGAACATGCTAAATGCCAAACTTTAACATCTAAATTTAAATTTAGCTTTGTTTTATTTACTGAAAATTATTTTTAAAGATTTCTTTGATGTATTAATGACTACAATTTTCACACTTAAAAGATATTAATGGTTTCAGTGATTATGCCTCATTTAACAGTGGCAATATTTACCAGTTATTAGTTAATTATGGTAACATGAACATTAATCTCTTTCTTTTTATCGTTAGTACATTCAGCAAATTGTAAGTGGAATGATACATATTTCAATATTATTAAATTTTACTTCCTCTCGAATAGAAGAATTATGTAATGCAATATCAAACAAGTAAAAAAACAAAGATTTAATTATCCTCCTCTTTAAAAACCAAAGGACAATAACATGGTGGACATTCGTATAATTGGTACTGATTTTCGTCGATCATATCACACAAAAAAAGAAATTTTGGTTGACCTAAATTTTTGAGAGTGGAAGCTTCGCATGTATTTTGCTAACCCAATTATAAAAAATGAAAATGTACAAGTTTTTGTCAAGTGTAAATTTTATTTAATATTACAAAATCATTAATTTAACAATAATTAAGAACAAACTACCTTGTTTCTTTTGCTTGTGTCCTGAGGAAATAAATATATTATACAAAACCATTAATTTAACAATAATTATAGAACGACAACCTTTGTTTCTATTATCCACACCTAATAACAAGAAATATTATATTATACAAAACTATTTAATTTAACAATAATTATAGAACGACTACCTTCTACTTCTACTATCCATCAATAATTATAGAATAAATACCCTGTTGCATCCTCTTTCGGTTTTTCCTTTAGTAGTTTCATTTATTGTTTCTTTACAAAGTGCGCATTTGGCATTTATACCTTGAAAATGTTTAAAAAATAATAAGTTTGTCAACCCAGCTTCTGCTTTATTTTTACTCGATTTTGTAATTTTTCTATACTTTGGAGCCTATTAGAGTCAATATCAAGAGTAACTTCAATTGAAGATGAACCATTATAAGTTGGTGGAACATCAAATAAAATTTTTCCCAAGAAATGATTATCCTTGACAAATTGACTGTCCCCTTCATAAACATTAATGACTATATGTGTGGAATTGGTTGGAAAAGTTTCCACTTTCTTAGTAGGAATCATAGTATTACGTTTAATAATCGGTAACATCGTACCACCGGCTGTTTCTATGCCAAGCGTAAGCGGAGCAACATTAACAAGTAAAACTTTTTCTATTTTTTTTGAAGTGTTGCCACTAAGAATGGCCGCATTCACTGCTGCACCATATGCCATAGCTTCATCAGGATTGATGGATTTATTCAATTCTTTACCATTGAAAAAATCAGAAATCAAACTTTGAATTTTTGGAACACGAGAAGATCCACCAACCAAAATAATTTCATCCACATTTGATTTATCCATATCAGCATCCTGGAGCACTTTTTTTACAGTTTCTATTGTCATGTGGAACAGATCATCGTTTAATTCCTCAAATTTTGAACGTGTGACAATAGTGTAGAAATCAATGTTTTCGAAAAGTGAATCAATCTCAATAGTTGCCTGACTCGAGATTGAAAGTGCACATTTAGCTCGCTCACATGCAGTTCTAAGGCGGCTAAGAGCTCGTACATTATTCGATATATTTTTCCTATACTTGTGTTCAAACACTTGAACGTAATGATTCACAAGACGACTATCAAAATCATTACCTCCCAAATGTGTGTCACTAGCGATAGCCATAACTTCCACAACGAGATCCGAGATATTTACAAGCGAAACATCTGTAGTACCGCTGCCCATATCAAAGATCAAAACATTAATTGTTCCAGATGGTTTTTTTTCCAAAGCATAGGCAATTGCTGCACTTGATGTTGAAGGAATGACACTGAGTGTAGACAAACCTGAGATCGTGGCAGCATCTCTTATCGATTGAAGCAGTGAATCGGTGTGTAGACCACCTAGCGTGATGACTGCTTCTGAAACTGTTTCGCCAAGAAAAGCTTCAGCTATATTTTTCATTTTTGATAATATCATTGAAGTGATTTCTTCCGGAGCAAACAGTTTTGTTTCGTATTGATATTCAACTTGAATGAATGGTTTACCATATTTATTGCTAACTATGAATGGTAAATTCTATAATATGTAAATATTATTTTTTTTTTCTTTTTTTTTTTTGAAAGTGCTTGTAAACACACAAAATTAATTATTTGTTTTCCTCTAATGGGATTGATTATAATGATAATAATATTATTATTAGAAATGATAATAATTTTAATATTGCATATAATAGATATGTATGATTAATTAAGTTATTGTTACTTACAATTAAAATTTT